AAGACAACACTTACCATCTGAAAACACATTTTTTTTCCCCTTCAGGAGTAATAACAGGAAACATTTATGTGGCACTTATGTTCTGCTCCAAGTACTTGCCAAATCTTAGTACCTCTAATCTACCCAGCTACCCAATAAGGGACATACTGCTACATTGTTAACCCCACTGTATAATGAGAGCCAGTCCTCCTTGAGTCTTTGGCATTTCTGTACATTGTACAAGCAGAGACACCAAATGCTCCAGACAACCTTTAAAGATGCTTTTACAGAGAAGAGCCTTGGAAAATAGTGTCTCCTCCTAGAGCAAAGGGCAACATTTTACTGTCCAGTATCATCAAGATAACATGTCCCTTTGGAGCAAAGGGCAGGCATGCTTACTACCCATTATCAAAGATTAGGATTCCCTAAACTCAGGATTCCTCTCCTGTGATGCAACCCAATGTGCCTGCAGGTGTCACCTGGCTCTTTCCACATCTCCAGTTGGAAACTGAGACTTAGGGAACTATACGAGAAAATGCTGAGATTCTGGCTACAGCTATTATGAATTAGTAATAAAGTCAGTCCCAGGAATCCATGAAACTGTGTGAGGTTAACTTTGTTAGCTTCAAAGTAGGGTAAAATTTCAGAGCCTTTGCAGTCCTTAAGAAGTCAAGTAATTTGCCTAAGGTCTGACAGCTAGTAGGTGGCACATCCAAGATTCAAGCCCAAGCTGTCTGGCTCAAAACCATACTTCTAAACTCTCTGCAATACTGCAGTAGTTCTCAAAGTGTAGTTCCAGAAATAACAGCATCAACATTACCTATAAAAGTGTTACAAATGCAGATTCTTGGGCATTGCCCGAGACCTAGTGAATCAGAAACTTGGGGGAGAGGAGGAGATACACATCTGTGTTTTAGCAAGCCTTCCAGAAGATTCTGATGCTTTCTATAAGTTTGAGAACCACTACTATACTGTATATATGCACTGAATTGACAAGATTGAGGGAAATGATATGGGCTTATCCTGATTTACGTAGGACTGTGAAGTGAATTTTCATACCTCGAACGAACAACAGATTTCAAGCACTAAGGCAGATGGTTTACAAACCCTTGCATTTAATTTCTAGGAAGGTGAGGATCTTTATCTGGTGCAAATAAACACTGTGTCTGTTTAATAGGTCTGCATAACATTTTTCTATGAATCCACAAATACATGTCCAGAATGCTAAATGAAAATACCTGCTTTTTCATTCCTGTAATGATTAGAAAGAATTACTTAGCCAAGGGGAAACACTATTTATATTTTAGGGTCAAGCTGTAATTCTTCAAAAACAGGAAACCACATATCAACACAGCCAATGTCGTGTACCACAGTAGACAAGGCACCAGGCTTTGAGTCGCAGAGTCAAGCCACTTCTTCAACTCAATTTCCTGATTTTCAAATGGAAAATGAACTCCAACTTCAGAGCTGCACTTAGGCTTAAATGATATGTCATGTGAAAGCTGCTGGTAAACAGCTTTTGTGCTGCATGAATATCAGCTCCACCTGCATGGGCTCTTTCTCTTTCTTGATCATGGTGTAATCACAGTTCTCCTTTGCTTGGAGTACTGTCTCGCACGTAGAAGATGCTCAATACTTATGAAGTGTTAGGAATGGATAGGAGGTATTATATTAATGATGTAATTGATTCCACTGGGCTCCACTTCTCACAGTAATCTCAATCTTTTAATAGCAGAAAGACACTCTAACAAGAAATCCTTAGTCATGTTTAAAATAGGCCAGATAATTTAAGAAAATCAGCTGATTTTCTTCCCCTGGAGAACACTAGTGAAGCAGTTCTGTCCTAAGGATAAGGCAGAAACTGCTATTAGAAGCTCTGATGGCCTCAGGGCCTGAGAGCTTCAAGTCTATACAAAATGCTGTGCACTTATCAATGGTCAGGAATAAAGGATGTGTACCTACAAAGAACTACATATTTCCCACTTATTTTGGCACTGGGTAGAATTTTAATAAATGGATCACAGGGGTCATATAATCTATTTTAATACAATCTATATCTCAGCAAATATTAAATAAGCTAAAACTGTGTATAAAACAGGTAAGAGGCTGCTTAGAAAAACCCCACTGCCAATTAAATATCATTTGGGAACAGACACCATTGTTGAATTTATAACTTAATGAAGGAAATATAATTTACTTACAAAGCTTTGTATATTTATGGTAAATGGAATTTCTTAATTGGTACTCTCTCCAACATACTTTCTCAATCTCTTGAAAAATGAGTTAACGGTCTAGAGTCTTGAAATAGGGGAACTTTGGGCTCTTAGCTTCAACAGACATATCTAAGATAAGATAGCAAATGAATTCAAGTTGAAGGACAGTTTTCAGCACCGGGCTCTAACAGTATGGTGACTATCCCTGTTACTTTGCCATTACTGAGAGACATCTGCAGGGTGTACTGTTCCCAGTGTACGATCCAAGTATTTATATGTAAATTAGCTCTACATTTTAAAAAGTGAAAGTCTAAGTCCACCTCAAGATTTTGAACAGTCAACTAACTTCAGAAAGGATTATGCAATTTTCAAAAATGAAACAGCACAAATTACAGAGGTGAGCATGAAACTTCTTTCACTGACTTCTTAAAACATATTGAAAACAAGTTCTTAATCATCCTTTCACCTGCCAAGGCAATATACAGTGCTTTGTAGAGGTCAATAAAAAAAGAAACTTTTAGTTCAACCAACTCGTTACAAAATTCCATTAAACCAGATTGGCAACTGGAGAGGCAGCCAGTTTGATGTAGTTTACTTACTACCTTAGAACCTCGGCGGAACAGTGACTTCTGGTGGCAAAAAACAAAACAAAACAAAAACAGCATGCATGTCATGCATCTGGTAAGAGAAAGCAATGTTTAAATTCATCTGGGTTTTATTCTTGTCCTAAATTCTCTCTCTCTGGATGATTTTTGAATCCTAACTTAATACATTGATTCTTTGAAATTGCATTTGTACAAATTTGAAGAGTTAAGCAAACCAGAAATGCCAAAGCTACAGTAAGACATTAACTCTGATATGTAACAGTTCATATTTTTCCTGCAAGTGGAAAGCAGAGTTCACAGTAATATACCTGCAAGTCTCACACCCCCAGCCTCATCATTCCTGTAGGTTATATGTAGAAAAAGAAAAGAAAGGGAGGGGGGGAAGTCCTCAATATCTAAACTCATTTTTTAAAAATCTTGTGTCCTACTCTTCGACACTTCTTTTTCTTAAAGTAACCAAATCTGTCTCAAATCCTTTTGTTGATTCCCTCTTTCCTAAAATTAGGTGAATTCAAGTTGATTTTCCTAGTGGTAAGCACTAGTTATCTATTCTCTTGCTTTCTCTCCTAGTCTCCTCCATTCTCTCGGGTCATTTATCCCTTGGTTGTCTCCATTCCTTTTCTGCACATTTATCTTCAACACTGGCAAGCGATACCTTTAGATTAAAGCAGGCTAACGACCAGAATTTTAAATTCTCCTGTGAAATTATTTCCAGAATATCCACTCATGGTATCCTTTCCACTAAAGATGAAAGGCAAGCTAAGGAAATACATTAGACAGAGGAAGTAAACATTGAAACAGGGCCTTGCCTACGTAGTCTTAAGCCTCTTAGCAGAATTAGACTCCGGGGTCCAAAGGTCTTTTCCTTTTTTTGTGCCTTCTATCCTCACTCGGAGTCTGACACGACCCGGGTCTGGGAGAGACACCCGCCGTCGCTCGCCTTCTGCGAGCTCTGCAGGACCTTGCTCCGAAATAACCTTCTCAAGCAAAAGCCCCGCACTTCTCAGGCAGCTCCCACGCCTGACGTTTCTGTGCCTCAATTACTGAGCTCTTCTCATTTTGCCGCTGTTGCAGGAGACACTAACTAGGTCTTCGCCTTAATGTACGGTTTCGCCTTCAAGGTTTAAAACCCGTCTGGTTCCTCGATGGCACATCCTATCCCCCGCCTCCAGCCTCCGACGTGCACCAACAGGGTTAAAATGACCCCATCCCACCCTTAAAATACAAAACAAAACGTGGTCTGCAAGGCTCTTCCTCTCCTGCCCCCTCCCCCGGGATCCAGGAGTTTTCGGACATGCCCCCACCTCCCGAGCCAGGGGTCGTTCTGGAACTATTTGCATAACGATGTGGGGCTGTGGAAACTCCTAAAAGACACACCGAGGAGCGAATTACGAAGGTCCCCAAAGGCCTCTCGCAGCTTCTTCTCCGTTACATTAAGGGAGAGTGCTATTCGTAGGACCCTCCAACGCCTCTCCCTTTTAATGGGCCTACCCCAGAGCTCGCAAAGTCGCAGGGCTCTCTCACGGCAGCCACAGAGGGTCAGACAATGAAGGAGAAAATTGCCGGCAGAAGTTAATCAGTCCCACGCTCTGCCGACGCCACCTTCCTCCGCCCCAGGAGCAAGTCTCAGAGGTGCCTTCAACTTTTCCCCTCCCTCTCTAGAGGCTGCGGACCCCCAACAAGCGCCTCCCTCTTAATCGCCATCAGCTGGGACTGGAACCACTCATCTCTGTTAGACCCAAGGCGTAGGGGTGACAATGCCGGGAACAGAGGGGCTCGGGATGGGGGAGAGGAAAGCTCCACTTTTACCGCCCCCCGCCCCCGAAACTTCTGGGACTCTTCTGTTACGCAACCGTGAGACCAGGTTCAAACAACCCAACATCTTTCCGCTAGCCGCGGGGCGCTCCGGCAGAGGTCCGATTTGGGGAGGTGGGAGAGGGGCAGAAGAATGGGTTCCTTCCTGTGGTCCCTTCCCTGGTTTTTCTAGACGATACCTGCCGCGCATTTGGAAGTAAGGGCGGCGAGAGCTCCGCGTCTCCGGGAGGTTCGCACCGGAAAAGTGGGAAGGCCAGCGACTTGAGTCAGCGTGCTGGGAAGCTGGCAGCGAGGCGGGGGACAGCCGGGGCTTCCCAGAAGTCAGCGCCGGCGGTTCGGGGCCAGGCGGACCCCTAGCCCGGGGGAGGGGGCACGGTGCTACCCTTACCTTCCAGACCTTTCGTCCTTCAGTCTCGGAGTCGTGCGCCCTCGCCGCCTCCTCCCTCCCCTGACCTGTTGCGGTGGGGAAGGGGCGCGGTGAGAAGAGCGCAGGCAGCGCGTGCTCCCGAGGCTCAGCAGCAGCTCGCACAGGACGCCGCTCTGGAGCGGCGGGGGGCGAGAATGCTGCTGTGCAGGCGACGCCCGCAGGCGGCAGCCGAGTGCGCAGGGGTGCGCAGGGATCGCGCTCCGCTGGCTCACAAGCTCCCCTGCGCCGGTCACCTCAGAACGCCCGCGAGGCGAAGCTACCGCCTCCTCGCGAGACCACGCCCCCACCCCTCCCTTCCCTCCGGGAGCCGGTCCGCCCTGCTCCACCCGGCCACGCCCTCCCGCCGGTGCCACCCAAGCGGCGAGGAATGCTGTCGCCCTCCGCGGGAGACCCGTGGGAGGGTGGAGGGGGCGCAGCCCCTCAGGAGGGAATACTGCAGTGACAGCCCCGGCAGCGTGGGTGACCCTGCCCCGGGCTGGTATGAGGCACAAACACCCTTTCGCTTCACAGAGAGATTAAGCTCAGGGTCAAGTTCTGACTAAAAGTGACAAGGAGCCTTTTTGCAGTCTCCTAGTCAATTTAAACAGAATCTGTGCCCTTTAAAGGAGATAATAACTAACATCTGGGGAGCGTTTTACAGTTTCTAAAGGGCTTTTCACACACAGGCCTGTCTCATCTTCACAACAACCTTATAATGTATAAATTATTGTTGCCATTACCCTAATTATAAAAAACAGCTGAAAATAGGTATAATGCCCAATGTCACAAGCTACTGCCAAGTGGCATGGGAAACCAGGTCTCCTGAATCCAGTCTCCAGGTTCTTGTTCTTCACCAGCCCAATCCCAGAAAATTCTAATGGATGTAGGAGCTTTGGCAAATAGATGCAAAGAAGGGACAGCTAACAAGTCTGGTTAATGATCCCTTCCATGAACACACCAAGAAAAGCATTCTGTCACCTTTCTCCCTGAGATGCAGAAGTATTACATCAAATGGCTCAAATGGATGGATAGTTTTCAAAAGCTTAATGCAGCAATTCTGAACCTTTTTCATCTCGTGGCACACATACACTAATTTCTAAAATTCTGCAGCTCACAGGAAATAGATTTTTTTTTTTTTTGCAGATCTGACAAAAAAAAAAGGTATAATTTTGATTCATTCACACCAGACAGCTATTGTATTAGCTGCAGTCTGACGTCAGTGCCCCTGACTAAGTAATCAGCTATCGCATGTTTTAAAAATTCTTGTGGCCCTGTCTGGTGTGGCTCAGTAGGCTGGACTTGGTCTGACAAACCAAAAGGTCACTGGCTCGATTCCCCATCAGGGAAAGCATCAATGATGTTTCCCTCCCTCTCTTTCTCTAAAGACAAAAATAAACAAACAAACAAATAAAATCTTTTAAAAAATTATTGTGGCACACCAGTTGAAAATTGCTGGCTTAATGATCTAAAATGGCTGAAATTATTTGGATGAAGAAAGCCACCTTACTCAAACGTGATATAATATAAATGTAAATTAATATAAAAATACCCCCTCTTTGCCCTCTGTGTTCTTTCCTTCCTATTTATTTATTTGTTTATTTATTTATATCACTGTTGCTTTACCCCTCATGGCTCCTTCATTGTCCACATGAGCAGTGTTTTACTGAAAACCTAATCAATACATATTTGCATTTCCAAATTGAACCCTTGGCTACTTGACTTAATTTCCCATGAATTGTTTTCCAAAATACAATTCTTCTCCCTACTCCTGAAGCCCCCATGATGATACTGATTTGATTTACCTGAACAGCTAAAATAATTAAAGTGTCCCTGATGAAACCTGATGTTACTCTATGAAAGCTTTGGCGGTCACCCCTGAGCAGGGTGGGGAAGGAGTCACCTCTGACAGATGGATGTTTTCTCAACTTCTTAAAGCTTTCTAATAGAGATTGAAATCTATTCTAATCTTAACAAATATTTTGTTATATAACTAATATATTTTATTGTGACATATATAGTAATATATGTAAGTATAGTAATATTATATAATCTACAGATTTTTATCTCTCCTGTTTAACACTTTTTCTTCTGTTGTGTTTCATTTTACCATCCCATAGTATCTCCTAATACCTTCAAACTGTAGTCAATTTAGTAAATTCTGTTGACAGGGGAAGTTTGATAATTTTATTTTCCTGCTTTTGGAGCTGAATCATATAACTTTGCAAAAGTTTTTTCTTGAAGATGGTGTAGACTTTGTTCAGAGAATAGTTCATCCCATTTGTACGTATATTCTTAAGACAATGTGCTAGGTGAGGGACCATATCAATGACAAAGACAGAGGTCCTGTTTTCGTGAGATTCCAGTGCCTAGCAGAAATAAGCCAGTAAATAAACAATTCCAGTGTACACTTCTATTAAAAGTGCTGGCAGCAATAGAGCTTAATTTCCAGAAAGGTGGTAGTTATTTAAAAACCAAAATCAAAATTAATTTTTTCATAATAAATGAAAAGCAGAATAGTCATTCCAGTGAGTTTTTAAGTTAGCTTTCTGTTTTTTCTCCAGATCATATCAATGGACAATAAGCAGGCTGTTTTAAATAGTCATTATACTTTATCTAATTTTTTAAATTATGACATAAACAGAAGTAATTAAGCAAGAGATGCATATATTTAGCTTTTTAGCTACCATTTCCTCTATCTTCTTCATATAGGAATTCTTAAATCATATTTTTAGCTCACTCAATGCAATTCTAGCACTTTCTTAATCCTGGCAACCTAGTCACATATATTTCTGATTATGCTTCTGCTAAGGTGAAGCAGGTCTCTGACATCAGTGATCTTTTTTAAACAAAACTAAAAAAATTTTTTTCCCTTTTTAACACAGTAATGGCAATTTTTTGGCTGACTCTTCATGTGAGGACTACAGAGATGTTATGTGACAATTTTCAGCCATAATTTTACTTAAAATTTTTGACATTGGGTGGTAAACATACAATGCAATATACAGATGATATATTATAGAATTGTACACTTGAAACCTATATAATTTTATTAACCAATGTCACCCCAATAAATTTAATTTAAAAACTTTTAAAGACAAACAAGTGAACCCCCTAGGACTCACAGAAGCTAAAAGGCTGTATTCTCAGAGCACCTGTACAAGGGCAAAGGAACACGACAGTAAGAATGAGACTGATGGCGAATGTGCTGGCATCACAGTAAGAACAGCTATTTGCTTGGTCATCCTGAAGTGCTAAACTTTGCAGTCAGCAAGACCCGAGCATCTTAAACCAGCAGTTTAAATTATGCTACTCCAAAAAGACTGCATGTACTTTTCAAAGGACATCAATTTCTTCACAGTGTAAATAAATCTTAACTAAACTGAGTACTGAGCATACCCTTGTGAAAGAAAACAACTGACCTAGAGTTTGGGGAAGGTGATGTAGATAAGGAGAGGGTGACAGTGAGGATGGAGGAGGAAGAATTACCCTAAACTAGGTAAAGCGAAGTGGAGGAAGAGCCAGTTCCCAAAAAAGAGCACAAACAAGATGGGGACTAGGACATCAGGACAAAGGTTATAAGCGACAGTGATAAGAAATAAAACAGGAAAGGTCAACTGGAAACTGATGGTGAAGGGCCCTGCATGCCAGCCTAGGGAGTTTTCTTTTCATGCTAAGTGCAGTAGGTGGGAGATTGATTTGCTCAGGTTGCATTTTAGAAAGACTACTCTGTCTGCCATAGAAACTGAGCAGGAGACAGTCAGGCTGCACTGCTAATCCCTGAGGTCATGGCAGAAAGTGTGCTGAGAGCTGGCAGAGATTGTAGGCAGATACAGAAATTCTTAGCTTTGGTTCTCTACCTGGGAGGCAGATATCCAAAATAAACCTGCTGGGGGACTTCCGGTCAAGTTGGAGGTGTAGGTAGACATGCTTCACCGCCTTGCACAACCATAAGAAGGATCAAAACTAATTTCAAAACAGAAAACACCCAGAACTGCCAGAAAATTAAACTGTACAGAAGTCTGATACCCAAGGATTTGAAGAAGGTATATTCATTTAGATGGGTAGGAGGGGCAGAGATTGGGAGCCAGGGTGGAGAGGACACAGTGTGGCATGGTAATGCAGCAGCAGTGCCAGTGAAATGGGCAGTCCCACATTCACCTGTGGTGGATAAAAATGAGGCGGACACCTTGTGAGTGAGTGATCCCGGCCCCAGGCCAGACCACATAGCCCAGGGTTCCAGCGCTAGGAAAAATAAAGCCTCATAACTTCTGGCTGTAAAAACCAGTGGGGGTTGGGGCAGCAGAAGAAACTGCCCATTTCTCAGGAGATCCCAGAATGTATGCAAACCCATCCACTCTGGGAACCACAACCAGAACAGCAGCTGGAAGAGTGCCTGCTGCATATGGGAAGTGGGTGAAGTGACAGGAAGTGGGGTGAGTGCCAGGCAAGCCCCCATAAATCAGCCAACAGTGGCATTGTCCCTTCTTCAACCCCTCTCCCCCACACAGAGCCACAAAGTGGTAAAGTAGGTTGCCCACCCTGGTAAATACCCAAGGCTCTGCCCCATACAACTAAGCAGTGCACTAAGACAGGGATTCAAAGTGGCTCTACATAGTTCACAGACACAGGGAGGCTGCCAAATTGAGGAGACAAAGAAATATGGCCCAAATGAAGGGACAAAACAGAATCCCAGAAAAAGAACTAAGTGACGTGGAGATAGTCAATCTGTCAGACACAGAGTTCAAAACACTGGTGATCAGAATGCTCAGAGATGTCACTGAATATGGAAAAAGCATAAGGAAAGACATGAAGACTACACTAAGTGAAATAAAAAGAAATCCACAGGGAACCAATAGTGAAGGGAAGGAAGCAGGGATTCAAATCAACAATTTGGAACATAAGGAATAAATAAACATTCAACCAGAACAAAATGAAGAAACAAGAATTCAAAAAAAATGAGGAGAGTTTAAGAGAACACTGGGACATCTCCAAAAGGGCCAACATCTGAATCATAGGGATGCCTGAAGGAGAAGAGGAAGAGCAAGAAATTGAAAACTTATTTGAAACAATAATGAAAGAAAACTTCCCTAATTTGATAAGGGAAATG